AGTAGGCGATTGGGCAGCCAGGATTGGCGGACGGCGGTCTGGCCTGATGTGGCGGGAGAACAGGCCGTAATCGAGGGACCAGCCCCCCAGACTGGTGGTGAGGAGGGTTGCTAGTGGGAGCTATCTCCGCAGGCGCGGCCGGCTTCTTACGGTGTCGGCGTTTGGCCCAGCGCCTATCCCGGAAGGAGTGGGCTGTATGAGAGCGTGGGTGAGAACAAAGTTGCAGAGGAGCAGTAGGGATCTTAGATGCGGCTCGTGACCAGCTATTGCTGTACATGGGCAGGCTTGTCTGTGAGTAGACGAGGTGTCGCAGAGCGAGCTATTATGTATGCAGGCGCCCTTGGGCTTTGCATGGTTTGAGATGAGAGGTTGTTGAAGAGGGGTCAGTGGGTACGTTAGTAGTGGGGTGAAAAAACAGAGCGATGCTGCCTTTGTGTAGATGGCTTCACACAACGTCGAGTATATCGCGCATCAGTACAGGCGATTCCTCTTTTTCTCTGCCACGTTGTGAGGCCGCGGCGCGCAGGGGCCGACTTGTACCATCTGCGGAGGGATATTCTCGTGTAGGGTCAGGAGTTAGGAGATGGCTCCGTGGAAGTATGCGGCCACGGGCCACGGACAACCCCACTGGTCCTGGAAAAGATCCCCCCAAACCCCCACGGAAGGGGGCCACGTCCGTGTTCGAAGCGTGAGACCTGTAGGGGCAGGAGCAAGGCGACTATCTGGTACGAGGGCCACTTGATGTGCGAGCGCAGGCGCCCGTAACGCTCGTAGAAGCTCGTGTGATGGGCGTGCGCGGAGCGCGGAGCGCGAGCGAGGGCATGCGTAGTGCGATGGTCGGGGGGAAGCCGCCGTATGCTGCGATCAGCATGAAGGTTGAGCTGGGAGCAAGTGGTGAAAGTTTGTAAGAACGCTTAGTGCAGTTGAAGAAGGCGCCGCATAGAACGGCAGAGCCGGACGATGCCTGCGAGAAGTGAAGGGGCAGGACCATGTACTTGGAAGAACAGCCAGAGTTTCAAGTGCCGGCTGTCAGAGGCGTACGCCGCTAGGCGGATGGGCCAGCACGATGGGGGGAGCCTTACTATGCGATCAGAAGAGTGGAAGAAATACAGGTTGACAGGTGACGAGAGCCTCTTGAGAGACTGAGCGATTGTCCGCGTGAGCGCGCGGCGAGCGGACGCGTCAGCGCAGGCTACTCGGCACGCGCTGCATCGGATAGAATCAACACGAAGATTTGTAGGTAGAGCCGGATGAAGCCTATGACCGCCGAAGCGACCCTGGAGGGGGGGGGGGGGGGGGGGGGGGGGAGCGGCCCGGGGAGCAATTAGGTACGAGGCCAGCGCAGCGCGGGCATGAGCTCAGTATCGGGCTCGGCACGTCCAGTGGAGACAGGGATAAGCTTCCTGAGAGAAGAGCGGGTGCCAGGCAGAGCAGAGTCAGCAGCAGCGGCTTAGGCAGCAGCTACCGTCAGTTAAAAACTAGCTGATAACCTGTGACCAAGCCGCGGCAGCTCAGCAGCTCGCGGCCAGCTGACGCAGCCGTAGCATGCGATCCCTATAGAGATTAACCGTAATAATCCTGTATCAAGCCACAGCAGTAGCAGGTTGTCACTGACAGTGGTTTCAGTAAAAGCTGATGCAGTGAAGAGAATATGGCAAGTACATAAGCAGCATAAAAAGCAGTATACAGCAGTAGCGGCATGGGAGTAGCAGCAGCAGCAGTAGCCATAGCTGTACGGAGCAGCAGCAGCAGTAGTACAACAAGCAGCAGCTGCACGCATCCGTAGATAAGAACAGCAATGATCGTATAACAAAGCCACGGCAGTAGGATGTTTGTAGCTGTTCAGTGGGCGCGGATTTAAACAGGTTTTAAACGGTCCAAGTGAGTGGAATTTTTCAACTGAGGCCCGCTAGAGCCAAGTCGAGGAGAGTGTAAACTGCGCGCTTACGGGGTCCAAGTGAGAGGGATCCAACCAGAGCCTGCCGTTTTTTTTTTTTATTATTTATTATTTATGTACTATTTATATTTTGATTGTATATTATTTGTTTTGTAGTTATTTACATGTATTTATTTTATATGTGATTTAATTATTCGTATTTTAGTTTAGTGAATCAGAAGATTGCGTTTCCAGATATAGGGCACAGGTAACCATCCACACCTGCTGCAGTCTCATGTCCAGCCTGCAACAGTTCTCACGGTATAACTCCAAGAACCTCCTATAAGCGAGTTTTCCAATCATAGCGGTTCCATAAATGAAGCAGTTCTCTTGATTGAAATGGAGGTTCATCTATGAAGCAGTTCCATCTGCAAGCTACGTAGAGTTCCTATGAGACAGAAGCAAGTCCCGAGACACGGTACCAGCTGATTTCCCCAGCTATAAGCATTTCCAGTTATAAGGCCATTTGCCTGATTATAACGCCTTCCCAGATATGAAGCAGTTCCATGTTCTAAAAGCATTGCCAGATATAAGACCGGTCCTCAGATAGAAGCTAGTTCGCGCCGTGAGGGACTAGAAACCTGAGAGCTCACAGACCAATGTAAGGGATTCATTGTGGAGCCCAGTCCGTGAGGATTGTAAACACGCTTGCAGTCAAGGAGAGGGATTTAAACAGCTCGTAGTCCCTGAGAGGGATTTAAACCAGAGCGGCAGGGGCCAAAGTGAGGTTAAACTGAGGGCTTGCAGTCCAATGTGAGGGATTAAAACTGAGGTCTTGCAGTCCAATGTGAGGGATTAAAACTGAGGTCTTGGCATCCAAGGTGAGGGATTAAAACGGGGTTCATTGCAGGCCGATGTGCGGGATTAAAACGGAGGTTTGCAGGTCTACAGAGTGAAGGATTGGAAAATGGAGCTTGGTTGAAAGAGAGCCTGCAGACAATCGCGAGGCTTTATACGGTAAGCGGGCCCCAACTGGCTCGGGGCCATCGAGCCTGCAGATCGAGGGCGTGGGAATAAACGGCCGCAGGAGCGCAACTTAGCCCTCAACGCCTGTGAGTACTAGGGACAACACTATCGGACCCAGACCGGACCCGGCACGAGGAGCAGGGAGGCCGCACAGCTCCCACCGCACCGGGCCAGACTCGGCCGGATGCAGCACTGGCCGCGACGATCATGCAGCGGCGAAACCGCAGAAAGAGCCCCAAAGGAGAAGCGCAAAGACTCATGTGTGATTTTTGTTGTTCCTCATGACATTATTAAAAATTCTCCAAGTAGCTCGTTCTCATTTAGTGCATCACTGTAAAACTGTTTCTTCTGGTTATCCAGATTTCTAAAACAATGTGTTTACCGTTTTACTGTATGAATATAATATAATCAGAATAGTAAGACAGCATCTGGTGTTAGACAA